TACATTTTTATGAGGCTTTTAATATTTTTTTATCTATAACATTTTAAAACTCCTTCTCCATCAAAATAAACAAACTTCTGTCCATTCTCCAAAATGTTGTTTATGTTGTTGTGAGTAAAATAAAATATATAAAGTACCTTCAGCTTGACGGTTTGGGCTCACACATGAAAAAGTTTCTCACTCCCTCGGTCCAGACAATTCTAACAAATTGCTGAAATACCAGTTTCTCACCACTAGATGGAGACAACGTCCACATTAATGACAATAAAATGCAATGAAAGGTTAATGATGTCCCCAAAACAATCATAGCTGGGTTTATTTTTTTTATCCCTTTTCCATTTTCCATCCATTTTCTGCCTTTTAGACCGTAAACCATGGATGGCCCATCCTGGTCCTGAAGGGCACATGCTGAAGAGCAGGGGAACAACCAAAACAAGCAGCATAAGCCAATTGACCACAGAAGTAACATTCATCAGTTTGCATCGACTCAGCATCGCCCAGTAGTGTCTCCATTTCCTGTTCCTGCTGGGTTTGTGGACCCACCTCAGCACCTCACCTCTGAGTGAGCCACACTGAGCAAACTATTTTGATGTCAGCAAACTGCAGCCTTCGATTGGCTCGTGGATCAGCTCACTGAATGAGCCAGGGCTGTTCTTACAGTAGCAGAGGCCCATATGTTCCTTTCTGCAGCGCCTCCTGAAGGGTCCTGGATGTTCTTGTTCTGCCCCAGTGGACATCCTGATAAGATGTCCAAACCACAACAGTCGACTCTTTCCTATGTGGAAGAGCAACGACTAATCTGAGCTTCTCACAGTTCCCAGAGTTCCTCGCCTCCTCTCTAAGGCTGAGTCATGTCACCATATGGGGGAAGCTCATTTCAGCCACTTGAATCCAGAATTTTAGTCATGATACAAACCTCACAACCTCAGGTGAGGATTTGAACACAGATGGATCAGTAAATCAAGAGTACTGCTTTTCAGCTCAACACTTTCTTCACCACAAAAGACCAGAGCAACACCCTCATCATCGTAGACAATGCCCCAGTCTGTTGATCCATGCTCGCCTCCATCCTACTATAACTTGTGAACAAGACATCCAAATACTTGAGGTCCTCCTCTTGAGCTGTTGACAATTTCCTCTCAGTTATGAACTATTTAAGAACCCAGACAAAGTTTCTGGAGGGTGAGGTCAAGACAAATCTAGAAACGCCAGTAAAATAAGATTCATTATTGTTTTAGTTTCTAGGGCACTAATATGTAATTTATTTGTGAAATAGGTTGCTACGTTTCTAAAAATCTATCTCAATTCCACATGAAACCATGAAAACATAAATATTTCTCATCAAAACCCCTGTCTGTGTGTGGATGAGAAATACAAACAGCAGAACATTTTATTAGAAAAATATCTGGGAGTAATATGAACTAGATAAATTGCATTTCATGTTAAAATGCAGTGTGAAATCTTATTGCAGATGAACTTGCTGAAACCCAGAAATTAGCTTAAAATATGCTGAAATGTAGCTGAAATGGATGAACAAGCCAACATTAGAAGAAAAAGTGGCAAGAACACTTAATGAATTAGGTTTAAATAAGCAGAAACGGACACATAAATTAGGACTTTTAGCTAAAAAAAAGATAGCAAAAAAAAAAAGCTGAAAAGTAGCTAAAAAGGCAGAAAGCAACTTAAACTACCAGAAGGAAACAGAACGAGCATAAATGAACTAAAAAATTGTGGAATTAGCTGAAACGCTAAAATTAGCACACAACAGCTAAATAGTGGCTGCAATAGCAGAAAAAGCTGAAAGGAGCATAAAGAGGTTAATTAGGCTCAAAGTAGCTGAAAGTACAACGAAAAACTTGAATTTATCTGAAAATAGCTGAAATTGGCTAAATAATACTAAAAAGGTAGCTGAAAAGGTAAAACAAGCTTAAATTAGCAGAAGAAAGCAGAAAGTACATGTTTGCATAATTATGATGAAAAAAGAATTAGCACATAACAGTGGGACTTATCTGAAAAAAGCTTAAATTAGCAACAACAAAAAACAGCTGAAAAGTAGCTAAAAAAGGAGAAAGAAGCTTAAACTGCCAGAAAGAAGTGAAGAGAGCACATTTTTGAAATAGGCTGAAAAAAGCTGAGCGCAAAAAAAGTGGAATTAACTGAAAATGTTAAGATTGGCGTCAAAACAGCAGAAAATGCTGAAACTTGCTGAAAGGAGTACAATGAGCTGAAATTAGCAGAACGTTAGAAGAAGCACACACATTTTTGTAGTTAGCACGAAGAATCTGAAACTAGCACAAAACAGCTGAAAAACCTTAGCTGAAAGTAGCCGAAAAAAAGTTTCAATTTGCACAAGGAAGCTGAAAGAAGCTGGACCAGACCAAAATGTGAACGGAGCAGTAAAAGGTTGTAAACACATCTAAATAAAATGAACTCAATTCATTTTCCATGAAAGTTGTGATATGATTTGTTGAAATAGTTCGAAAACTGCAGAACGATGATCACGCTGAAAAACATACGGAAGAAACATGGATCACAACAGAGTGAACGCTTCTTAAACATGAACACATTAAGGCCTAACCCTTTCACCACAGTTTCCTTAAATCAGTGGCGAACAGTTGATCCATGTTGGGTAACATGACTGTTGTCATTTAGATATAGAAGTAAACAACACTGATTTCTCTACATTTGCTGCTGCTTTGGTGAAACCTCCTACCTGTCCTCCATTTCTCCTTTTGGTGGGGACAAAGTAAAACTGCAGTTTGCACGTCCTGGTGAGTTGAGGACATTTACTCTCTTTCTGCTGCAGGTCACTGTACGCTCGGGCGAGCCTGCCGGCCTCTCTGTCGCCTCCAAATATGACCACTTTGACCACGGTTGGCAATTCTTCTACGTTCGCTTCATCGATGCTCAGGATCGGCCTCCGGCGGAAGCACACCTGTTTTTCGAGGGGAAGGAGATCCAAGGCAGGAGGGCAAACCTGCCTCACGAGGAGCCTCGAGTGTTTGACTTTGCCCCCCGTTCTTATAAAGTCTTTGCTGGTGTCGCAGTTGTAGCTCACGCTCTTGGCATGAGGACTGCGGGGCGTCTTAAAAAGCAAGGAGAAGCGCTCTAAGCCCAAGAGAGATTTGGACTTTTTCTTGGGTTTTTTTCTAGTCTTTGATTGCCTGTCTTGTCCCTCCTCTGTGTCCTCATGTGTTGTGTCCTCACCCAAGTCACTTTCCACCCCGGATGAAGCGCATGGCACAGACAAGTTGGAGGACAGAGAGTTGCTGGAAAACGTAGAGTCTCTCGAGGATGACGATGCCACTGAGATCCGATGGCTTTGAAGCTCATTATTTAAGTCCAGCTCAAATTCATCATCTACACTGGTCTCATTGTCATCGTCCTCATCCATGTCTGTTTGGAGGAAACACTCTGGAGGAGAATCCAGGTCCAAATCTAATCCAAGTATGTCCTTCAGAACATCTGCACAAATCAGAATAATGGAGTATTTGTTGGTTGACGTATAAGCAATGCAGGTGGGTGGAGAATGGTGAATTAAAAAGTTAAATTTAAACTATTTACCAAAGTTATCATCCTCCCATGAGCATGTGTGACATTTAGGAAGGGGCGGCATGAAAATCTTAACAGATCCTAAAAACAACAAAGAAATACAGAGATAAATAAACCACACATATCATTCCTTTCATCCTACAGGGATATACAGTACATGCAGTATTATTACAGTGTACATATACATAGTCTATATGGGGACATTCTGGGTACCCAAAGGATAATTACAGAGTACCTTCTGGCTAATTGCAGAGTACCTAAAAAGTAATTGGATTGTATTTGCTGGGTATTTACAGAGTATCTATAGGGTAGTTTTGTTATACATACAGAGTTCTTACAGGTAAATACAGGTACTTTAGAGGGTGTATAAAGAGTGTTTTGACATGATGAAGGTACATACAGGGTATGTAAGGGGTGGCAGAACAACTTTGGTAGTAAAATGAATACTTCTTTAAAGCTTCAACTTGGTTTCTGTGTCCACACATGTCCTGGGACTGAAATTTCCACTGTTTTGGGGTGATGTGCTACAGTGCTCACAGAATTTCTTCTGGGCCCACATTTTGAGTTGTAGTGTGTGCTTGCACTACTGACACAGAACTCTGCAGACTCTTATGAACTGGTCCAGCTGATGAAACTGACATCAATTTACAACTGAATAAGTATAAATTCTGTCAATCTTTATGCAACGTATCTATTTTTTTATTTGGTCTTACCAGTGTCTGGACAGTAACCTGCAGGACCAGGGTTGGTGAGACCTGCTCTGAGCTTCTTCAAGCTGTGGAGCAGACCCTCTCGTGCTCTTTTGGGATCTGTCAGCGAGGCTGCTGCTTCCATGCTACCACTGATGGACTCCATGAGTTGCTCCAGCTCCTCTGGATGTTTTCCCTGAAGATAAAATTAGCAAGGACATCTTTAGGAACAAGAAAATGGAAGAACAACGAGGAAATACACATAAATGAACTGTACGCCGATGTCCCTCGTCACTAATTCATTCATTGATTCAACCTTCAGGTTAATCCCATTGAGCCTCGGGGACGCGTTTACAAGAGAGACCTGCTAATGGATTCGAATAGTGAAAGTTTGTAACTTTCGAGTTGAGTGTTTTTCTGGACAGGAATCAAATGGAATGCATTAATGTTTTTAGTGAAAGATATTCAAGTGGGAGTTACACTGTGGAGAAGAACAGAGGTAGATTTTTTTCTGAGGTAGCACCGAGTAACCAGTCCTGGAGTGGAGTGAGCAATTGTATTTACGACCAGGTACAATGGTGGCATGGCATTTACTGTATGGTGGTGGCCATCTTGGATTTTGACTTGGCAACCCAACTTTCATAGTGATATTTCTTATGTCTACATGCAGCTATACACTTAAATGGAAGTTGGCACGTTGCTTATTTTTCCAGTTGTCCAACTCACAAGGTTTACTCATAATACATGACGACAGCCATCTTGGATTTTGATCTGGCAACCAAATTTTCCAAAGGAAACTTTCTTATGTCTATATGCAGCTACACACCAAAATGGAAGTTGGCATGTTGCTTATTTTTCCAGTTATCCAACTCACAAGGTTTACTTATATGAATATATGATGGCAGCCATCTTGGATGTTGATCTGGCAACCTATTTTTTCAAAGGAACCTTTATTTTGTCTATATGCAGCCACACACCAAAATGGAAGTCAGTACCTCATCTTTTTTCAAGTTATCATGATCACAACATGGATAGATATTTATGGCGGCAGCCATCTTAGATTTGGACCTGGCAACCCATTTTTTGAAAAGATAATTTCTTTCACCCTGACACAGGGTACAAACGGACCATATTCCCAATGCTCACTTTTCGCTCAGTGATAGGGGACAAATATGACACATGACCTTCCAGTTTACCTGCAGGGAGTCGTGGAGAGCCTGCAGGTCACATGTGGTACCAAAAGCCGCCTGAAAGCTGTGCAGGATGAGGGTGGAGATGATGTCTCTGGTGGAGCAGTGGATGGAGCTCAGCTGCTCAGACGCTGGCTGGACCTCCAGAGGAATGTCATCCTCTGGGCTCACCAGCAGAACCACTCTAACAAAAAGATTGGTTCACATATTTAATGCATATAAACCTTTTTATTTTTCCTGCCATCAGAGTCCAGATGAACTTACATGGTTCTAGAAGAGGTAAGGTCGGGGGAAATACCCTGCTCGCTCCGTATCAGTCGCTGAAACGAAATACCTGCAACAAAAAAGACAATTATCGACTTTAATCACTAAGAACTTTCGAGATTAAAGTAGAAAAGTTAAGAAATAATTGAAATACTCCAGGGTGAAGTTGAAATGTTGAGAATAAAGATAGTCTTAAATTAAACATTGGTTTAAAAACAAACCATCATTGGAGCAAAAACTATGATAATCATGTTTTTGTAATGACTTTTTTTTATTGCAGAATAAAATTAATACAAGCATTAGTAATTTAGTGTAAGTAATGTGAGGTCAACATTCAGAGTGTTTCAGACTCTTATTGTGAAGGACTGAAGGAAGTTGTGACTGATGCTGCTCCTTGAAAATGCTTTGTGCTGTTTGAATTTGTAGTATATTATATAAAGTGCATCCAGAAACTTTGGACAATACATAAAAAAATTAAACAAATAAAATAAGGTTTGGAAGCCTAATGAAGTTAATTAACCTAAATAACATTTTTATCCCAACTTGTCAGGTTTTTCTCAACATTTTGATTCAATTCTTAACATTTTAAGAATTAAATCTCAATATATTAACTTTAGCTTGATCATTTTAGGTTTATTCTCAACCTTTTTTATTGAACTTGAACTTGAATATGAACATTTTGATATTTCAACTTTAATTTCAACATTTTAACTTAGCATTAAGTAATTCATTAACACATTTTAACAGATTTAAAAAAATATATTGACATTTTTAGCTTGAATCCTAATAATCTGATGTAATCCTGAACAGTTCAACATTATTCTCAACATTTTTACACTAATCTCAGCTGAGAAATGTTAAAATTTTACATTTATTTTCCACCATATCACTAATTAGGGACTTCATAGTATATGCAGACACCTATTATTATCCACCCAACTTGAGTTTCTTAACTTTATTTATATCTTATACTCTCTTCCGACAACTTTAATGCGGCCCGAACCGCAACGTGCACCCCCACAAATGTTGTATCAAAACGACCAGCTCAGCGCCGTGATGTTTGCTACTACTTTTTTTGGTGTTTTATGTTACCATGGCAACATATTTTGTTAACAACGTTACCATATTTCCCCATAGGAAATGAATGAGAACACTCCTCACATTAACTGCTGCTGTCAAGTCACATGACTTAAGAGTATATGTCCCTGATGAAAACAGAAGCTCACGGTTGGATTTGTTTGAAACTCACAGAAAGTAATCATCAGATAAATGTGTACAAATGATTAACGTTCTGAGCCATGTTGATTCAAGATGGCTGCCACAGCTACCTCAGAAAACACGAAATTGACTATAACTCGTCATTCTTTAAGATATAGAACTGAAATTTGGTGAGGTTACCCTTAACAAAAAGTAGTGCATTTGAAGTTTATTTTTGCAAGTATACTTTAAGTTAAGTATAAGTATATCATATTACACACCATACTTGTAGTGTACTAGAAGTATACTGATTTAATGCTTGTTTGGACTAAATTGGGATATTTTTATACTGTTTTTAAGTATATCAAATAAAGTTTGTAAAAAGTAAACTTCAAGTACACTTCCTCATTTTTAGTGTAAAATAAGTATACTTGTAGTATACTTAAATAAACTACTTTTTGCTAAGGGTATAGCTGAGAACGTACACATACAAATCAAAAATCCAAGATGGCCACCTTAGTTAAAAAGGAACAATTACGATAACTCAGCCATTTTTAGAGCTGTTCAGCTCAAATTTGGTATAGTGGTAGCTGAGAGCGAACCCCAACACATAGCTGTCAAATCACAATTTTCAATCGGCTGCAGCCTGCATGGCAGTCCCCGTCAAAGTTTCTCCAGGAAATTTCTAGTATTCCATATTACTAATAGTATTTTAATCTGTACAAAAACCTGCTTAATGTATGCATGTCTAAAAGAGTCACAAAAGGTATAAACAGAATAATTAGAAGCGTTCATTTGAACTTTTGGCCCGTTCTCCTCGTGTCCGTTACTTCTACCTGGTGCTCGGAGCTCCAGCTGGATGATGTTCAGTACGCTCATGCAGGCGGAGCTGCAGGGTTCAGGCCAGGTCAGGAACCCGTGGAACAGCAGGTAGGCCTCCTGCAGCACGCCACACTCTGGAGCCAGATAAGGAGTCTACAAGACCAAAAACATGCTTTGAAAAAGGTGCAAAATATGAGACGGCTCATTTCAAATGATGTAAACTCACCCTGAGAAGAGCTGAAGAGAACAGGAGAGTCAGGGGGACCACCAGTTCATACTGGCACTGATCCAGAACCTGGAGGAGGAATAAAAACCTGAACTGAAAGCTGCTGCCTCCCACATTACAACCATAAAAAAAAAAAAAAAGGACAGCCATGATTGTCTCACCTCTTTTGTTTTTCGCAATAGTTTCTGTAGAAGGATGAGGAAGTTGTGAGGATCCCTCTTCACGAGTTCCTCCATGCACCAGCGGCTGACGCACAGTCCGGCTTCAAAGACACAAACCCACAAAACCTGAACTGGTGAGCTTCTAGGTTTAGCTCCGACACGAGGCGGTGAGAACAACTGGTACAGATTCACCTAATATGAGTACTGTGAGCAAATGAACACTTTATCTTACATTATTTATGAATGAAGCTCTCTTAGAAACATCAAAACTGACTGTGTGATCCTCCCACGTGATCCTTTCACCACTTTCACTTCCACTTTTTCCAGAAAGATGTCCCCCCTCTGTGTTATTTGGACATTTGGACCAACTTCCAGCTTGTTGAGACATTTTGAATAAATACAAGACGAACCCTGAGGTTGTGATTGTCTTGTCTGAACAGTGAACGTGGATGTGGGTCCTACCGTTCCAGAGGTGCTTGTCGGGCGTGTCCACACCCAGGTGACAGAGGCAGCGCTCCAGGACATGCTGGATCCGGTCTTCAGTGCAGGAACTCTGCTCCATCATCTGCAAGACCAAACATCCACAGCTGAACGAGAAAGACAAACCAGCAGGAAGTCTGCACGGCCTGATGGTGATCTGGTGAACCAGAAGGGCCTTTCGGTGCGTCCACACTTCCTGTTTCTGATGTCATCAGGTATTTGTCTGGTTTCAGGATGAAAGACTCACAGAGACGCGTCCACCGCTCCAAAGTCGGCGCAGAAGACCCAGCCGGGCACTTCCTATTAGAGTCACAGACTGAGTGAACCGGAGATGAGCTGGCAGAAAACTCAACTTCTACTTTTGTCTTCAAATTAGCCGCCTGCAGTTTTTTCAAATGTAGTTTCCTTTTCATGACAGCACTGGGATGGAAATTATTCATACAAAAGTGCAACTTCCTATTTGATGACCCTGAAGTTATTTTAACTCTTTCATTGCTGTTCGGGGGAAAAACACATACATTTTTTCTTTATTCATCTATTCTGGTGAAGTTACATGATTTTTTTTTCTGACAAAGCCTAAAAATCCTTCTTTTTAAAATTTGTCTGAAATTTTTCAAATGCTCTCATAACCTCACAGTCATTTTACTGCGCTCGTGTTCCTGAGGGGGAAAACACAACTTTTATGTTTTTTTATTTTTACCTATATATCATACTTTCAGTTTTTATTTTAGCTCATAAGTGTTGCTGTTTTTATGTTTGAGAGCCTCTGAGATGCTGTTCAACTCACTCCTTGTCCGGAAAAATGGTTTTAGTTTGGGTGTAAAGAGCAAAAACTCACTTGTAGTGTGCACAAGTGAACATTTAGTCATAAACACAAGTTTCACATGCATGCAGGCTGCAGCACCTGGCGTTTCACGGCTGACAGTGCATCGTGCACCTGCAGCTCCATCATCTCTCCGGGTCAGTAAAATAATTTAGAAAGGAACGTTTCTAACAAAGGCAGAGTGTAAAAAGGAAATAAAACCATAATAAATAAATAAAAATTATTAGGAAAAAAAACCCTTCATGTCCGAAAACCAGGAGACAGGAGTAAATTTGACTGAAAACAAGGTTGGATACCAGATCTGAAAAATCTTGTGGGCTGGAGGGTCTTCACAATAATCCAGACTGGATTTTTTTTATTTTTTATTCTCAGTAAATCATTTTGGGTGGGTGTACTAGTGGGGGGAAATGCACACACAGGTTGTGAAAGGAGGGGAGGGGGATTATCTCGTCTCCCTTGATGCATCTCATAGAGAGGGAGGTGGTTGTTGCATTGTATACTATTTAGCAAAATTCTGAACAAGTGCTCAGGTGTGCAGTTTAATCTGTACTTTCTTGTTTGAAAAGTAATAGTGTAGATTCACTTATTTAAAGAAGGGTACGAATTTACGAGAGTTGTGCAATTTATTTTGTGTTTCTTGAAGTTCAGTAGTTTCGATTGTCTTATTCAGAAAAGGTTCAGACCTTCCGTGACAGTTGTGGAGTGAAGTTTGTGTCTTGATAAAAGTGTAATTGTTGCACAGATTTATTTAAGTGTACTTCTGTTGGTGCAATTTGGAAATGCTTTATTTTAATTGTTTACTTTCTACAGCATTTATTTTTTTGTATTTGTTTCATATACTTTTAAATTCATGGTATATAGTATTAATGTGACTTTTATATTTTGTTTTTAGTATTATTCAAGGTTCTTCAATTTCAAGTTTCAAGGCACCAGAGGGGTTGTTTGCCCAGGGCACCAAACAGGCTAGGACCACCCCTGGTTGTGGGGGGTCACTGGTGCCCATGTCCAGCAGTCACTGCAAGAGGCGGGGTGGATGGCTGTTGCCTCTCAGCAAGAAGGTCGCAGATTCCCTGTGATGGACTGGAGACACCCTGGACAGGTCTCCAGTCCATCACAGGGACACATAGAGACAAACGAGACAAACAAACATTCACTCTCTCACTCACACCTAGGGACAATTTAAAGTTACCAATCAGTCTAACATGCATGTTCTTGGTCTGTGGGAGGAAAATGGAGTACCTGGAGAAAACCCACGCATGCACAGAGAACATGCAAACTCCACCCAGAAAGGCCCCCGGCCAGGATTTGAATCTGCGACCTTCTTGCTGAGAGGCAACAGCTCTACCAACTGAGCCACCGTGCTGCCCCCAAAATTAAATGATTACAAAATTCCACTTGGAGTCACGTTCAGTAAAATATTTGGACAAACTCCTGGACATGCTTTTCCAGAGGTTTGCAATACATATATATATATATATATATATATATATATATATATATATAT